CAAAATAGCCAAGGCTAACAAGAGAAACCCTGTCTCAAACATCCCTGCCCGAAACAAAAGAAAAAATTAAAAAAGAAAATAAAAAGCCTATTGAAATAAAGCCCCCCTTTGAATAGACACCCACTTATTTAGTATTCTATTAAGATTAGTTCCTAATAAATACAAGGACAGAAACATTGTCATTATAACTTGGCAGTTTGAATATTTTTAAGCCATTCCTATTGGGAACTTAATCTCTATTGCCTACTAATACTATAAGTGTTGATCAAAACAGCAAACAAGCAACCAGAGATAAAGGAGATTTAAAACAGCTTGATAGAAAAAGTTTTTCCAATCATATTTAAAAATATAACTTATTTGAAAAATCACTTCAGGGGAAAATAATCTGTGTTTCCACTTAGTGGGAGATTATAAATACTATAAATGTTAAAACAGAGAACATTTTTTTAAATCTATGTCAGTTTATTGGAAAAGTAAAATACAAAACCTATTTCCTAACTTTAAACAAAACTAGGCAAAGGAGATCGTCAGCTAATTTCTTCATACACATACAACTTCATAGAATGGCTTTCAATGAGATGGTAAACATTTGTTGAATACCACTAGCATTGACAGTAGGCTTCAAAAAGGTTCACATAGAAACATAATGAACAAGAACATTCCGAATTGAATTGCTTCATAACCCCATTTAGACTTTGTCACACTAACTGAAATTTTACCTGAAAAGGCAGTTAATATATGAAAATATACATAGACATTTTCAAGAAAGCTACAAAAAATCCAGAAACCTTGATTTGAAAGAATATTTTTGTATATGTGAATGTGTTTATGCGTATGTGTATTTGTATGTAAATTCAGTCAAATAAGCCACTAAGAATGTCTCACATTGTTTCTTTACATGCAACGCTTGTTCAATTGTAATCAACCCTTTGCAAACATGCAGATGCATGACTTAGAGCACTTGAGTCAGATTCTTCTCAATCAATGAGGTGCTCATGGGAAGTGTGCTTTCAGGGTCAGGGTTCAAAAGTAGAGTTGGGTCAGCAAAAGAGAGGAAAGGCCTTCCTTAACTCTTCCCTGGGGCTCCCACTCACTTCACTGACTCTCCGAAACACTACTGAACAGTCAAGTTCTGCCAGACCCAGAGTCCGGGTGGAGGGCTATTCTCCAACATGTGTCTTTCCTAACTACACATTAAAAGTTTGACAGAAAACTATGTCCAACAGAAATGCACATGTATGTATACAATTTTATGTTATCCACATTATAATTTTCTTCTTCTCCTCAGACCATGAGTTTTATTCATGTTTAGTCCTGTATATATAGGACCATATAGAATGAACTATTTTGTACCAAGATTCTTTGCTCCACATTTAGATTTGTGAGATAAAAAGTTATTACTTTATATTACTAGTACTATTAGAAAATCACACAACTTGTCTACACAGTTTTAGTATAAAATATATTTCATTGTATGCTTTTCAAAAATGCAAAGAATTAAATAGCATAAATTTGTTTCATGTCACCTTTTGAATATTACTGCAAGAAAGGAGTTTGAAAGTTATTAATCAAAAAGGTTTTAAACACCTATTGAATATTTCAATTTGTACACTACTTCAATCCATGCCTTATTATTTTTTAGTTCCCACAACTTAGCATCAAATTTGATAACTACAGAAATATAAAAAGGGAATAAAGTAAACCTAACATCTCTACCTGCTGAGAGATTTTTATTTACTCATATACTTATCGAGTTATTTTTGGTCTGGGAATCAGGCCCAGTTCCTTTCTATGCTGACAAATTTTAACTACTAAAAAAAAAAAAAGAAAAAAAAACAATTGTATTGCAATGTTTATCATTCAAACAATAGCACTATATTGTTCTGTTATATGCAATCACTTTCTCGTTGTGTAGTCTACTGGGTTTCCCATATTCTTTACTTTTCATTGAAAAATAAAAAAAACATACAATTCATGACATTTACAGTTATAGTTTCAGATAACTTCTAAGTACATGAAAGTATTAAAACTACTTTCTACAATAAAAATGAAATAGGAAAGAAAAATGATCAGACCATATAGAGAACAAACACACAGAATGGTAGTAGTCAGCAACATTAAAGTTGTGTTAAATCTTAAAAACAGTGACAAGTAAGTCAGCTCTCTAGAGTCAACATTCAAAGTGAACTACTGGTTGCAGTCTCTGATGGCTAGTCTTCATTATCAACATTATTGCATGGAGAATCACCTGGAAAACTGGTGAAGAGTACTCTGAGGCGTATCTGTAAGAGCATCTCCAGAGGACTGACAGAGCAGGGCAGATACACCCTGAGCATCAGCAGCACCAACCCAATGGCTGAGGACTAGAGTACAAGTGGAAAAGGGGGCAGCCAGCAGAGCACAGGCACACTGGTCTCTGCCTGCCATCAGGTGACCTACTCTGCTCTTCCACACCTTCCCACATGATGGAAGGAGCCTCTAAAGCCAGGAACCAATAGGTCTTTCCTTTCTTGGACAGAGACAATAGGAGTGACTAATATGTGATCCAAAGTGTCCCTTTTCAATAACAATAGCTTTGAAATATCAAGTTGAAACTGAAACCAAAGACTAAATTGGCCATTTCAACTGTTTAAAGAGGGGATCAGTATCATCTCATATACTCCCCAGACCTTCACATCTCCGGCACAACCATGTCACAATAAAGTCACACAATTTCCCCACTAATATCTCAATCATTATATAGCATCCTAATTAACAGGAATACATTTACATGGTTACAAAACTCTGGGATGGAATTCTAAGAAAGAATCAGAGGACCTGCGATGTAAAGTTGAAGACACAGAAGGAGCATGTCTGAAAAGGTGAGGCAGTGAAGGGAGACAAGCATTCGGAGTAAGCTCACAGATGGAAAGGAAATGAGATCAGCCATGGCAGGCAGAATCTCCAGACAGGACAAGACCAAAACCCAGGAGTACTTCCCATGTCTCCACTGTGAAATCAGGTAGAGAGCTCCCCATCTCAAACAGTCCTGCTATTAGCAATCACCTTTCTGATTATCCCTAACATGTTTTTAAATTCTTTGACTTATACTAAACTCATTAAATACTCAAATATGAATTTACATACACATACTTCTGCCTTCTCTGCCATCCTCAACTATCCATTTAATTGCACAGAGGAAACAGCCCTTACTATATTAACTATATGAGAGCATAATGCCACGGTGTAAACATAAGATTATTTTTACCTTGTATATATTTATTCAAGAAAAAAAAAGCTTGCAAGAAGTCAAGGCAACTTTTTACATCATAGGGCTGCAAAGTAAAATCATACTTAGGCCAGCGAAATAGCACAATCTTAGATCCACAGTAGTTAACAGTCACTCCTTGGAATAGTCTCCATTTGGAAAATAGCCAGCTCCTGCTATTTACTCTGGAGTTCCGACTTCACAATGACTTCCTCTGTTATTTTCCATTTTGGTTATTGCTGCTATACTGGGTGCTAAACTGTTAAGACCATCAGCCCAGTGTTCAAAATGAAGGCACTGACTACCTAGGGGCTAGGGAGGCATGAATCTACCAGGGAATTTTACTTAAAGTCTAAAATAGTTTCTTTTAACTCCAAATACAATTTGTTATTTTGGTATGGTCCTTTCAAGCCCTTGATGAGTGTTAGTCTTCTAATGAATCAAGATGACAATTTAATGTTTAATGAGAATAATTGCTTGCCTTTTGATCCCCCTTCACGGCATCTGGTTCATGGCTGATGTGAACAAATAAGCAACAAGTCCTTGTGTAGATAAAAACATTACTTCTTGTGATGTCATAGCATATAAATTATTCTAAGATGTTCCTTTAGCCAGTAAGCCAATTTACTAATAAACAAAGCCGGGGGAAGAGCTGGGCTGCAGTCTTCCCAGGGAGAATGTGATACAAAGCATGCTTGATGGGAGGTGTCCTTTGGTGTAGTTCTGCAAATGCCTGTGGTTTGGAGGTTCAGGAAAGAAAACAAATTAGCTAGGCACACTGACCTCAGGGAAGCCCCTCCCCCCTTGAATCCCTTGAATCAGGTGCCACATTGACCTTCCTCCAGTAAAATTCCTTCTGCTCTGTACTGCCACTGCCAACTTTTTTAAATAGCCTACCAAATGGTTATATGGTCCTCTGGGAATGTGTTTTCTTACATTGCCTGACGTATGGTAAGAACTGAGTATTTATTAAGTAAATGAGTATTTTCCAGCTGAAATTTTTACAGTAAAAAAACAAAGAAAGTCAAGCAGTCTACTCAAGTTAAGTGAGTGGAATGGAAAAGCAAGCTCTAATGCCATGTACCTTCATGCATCGGGTCAGGAGATAAAGCCCTTCCTAAAAAATGCTTAGGTAGTAATCCATTTGTGAACATAACAACTAAAACACTTTATTACCCAACAAAATCTGCACAGTGATTTCTAAAGACCCTAAGAGCTAAACCTCATTTTGTAAGAATGTGTTTCCACTTAAGAGGACGAGGGCATCTGAAACCACTAAGTTCGATTTTTCTCTTATTCTTATCACTTCAAAACAGCTGAACTGGTTCTTCTGTTAAAAAAAAAAAATCAACTAGTAGACTAAGTCTGAAAACAGAGCTCCATGATGGTAAAGCAATGTGAAACGACATCCTCCAAGGTATTGTGAAACACGACACTGTCTAGTTCATTTGGCTCTCAGTGTAGTATGAGCAACTTGTCTGCTTCTTATTTTTATTGTTATTTTATGTGTATAGGCATTTTGCCTCCCTGTATGGTAGGACATCCATGCATCCAAGGCCCACAGAGGCCAGAAGGGGCTTAGGATGCTCTGGCACTGAAGTTACAGAAAGTTTCAACCACTAAGTGGGTGCTGAGACTAGAACCTAGGTCCTGGGGAAGAGAAGCTAGTACTCATAACCACTGAGCCATCTCTCCAGCCCCAAGTAAGAGCAATTTTGAAAATATTAAATATTTTGTAACTTTTTTTACTCACTTCAAAGCTTCCTCAAATTTATGGATCTTCCTCTGAGCATCTTCTTTCTCTTTATCAAGTTCACTTTGCAATTCATGAACCTGCCAATAGAGAGCATATGAAACTCACTGGAAGACAAGGATGCTCAGAGATATAAAGAAACAACAATCTCAAATCCATTCATTCAGACTTAGGTATTTCATGGTAGAAACCTGCTTAACCACAGAATAATTTCAATGTTCAACTCCTAATACAACTTTTCAATTCAAAGTTAGATTTGCTTACAAACAAATTGGTATACATCAACTTCAAAAAATGTACCAATCACTTTGATTTTTAAAAAATCCTAGTTTTGACAAAGGAAAGAATTTTCATAGGATTGAAAAGACCAGAATAAATAATGTGTCTGCATTAACCAAATATAGAAGGGCTATTATGAAATCTTCCATTGCTAAGCATGACTTGTGCACCCATTGACCAAGTTTGGAACAAAATGTCCATCATGATTGATTGCGTCTTTCCTGTGTGTAGCAACCTTTGAGTAGGTGGATGATAGCACTAATCACAATGGCTAAGGGAAAATTCTCTTCACACATTCAAATATGCAGTATGGATACTCCATGTGGACATTATAGAGATCTTCTAAAATGGAAGAGAAAGTTTTGAGCAGCTGACAGAAAGGGAAAAGTGAATGACAGTGTAGTTGTGCCCACACAGCAGTGAGGCTGCAGAGCCTTCCTGAGTGCTAAGAAAGCTCTCAACTCAGCATTTGAAAGTATCACTTACAGACCTAGACAATACCGTAGGACGGAACATGAATCTGACGGACAATGAGACGAAAGGAATGACAAAAATCTCACACACACACACACACACACACACACACACACACACACACACAAACACACACACACACACACACCACCCCATGCACACTCTAAAGCCATGTCATACGTAGTATTGGAATTAGCCAAAAGTAGTTAGATATTTTATTTTGGGTTTTTTTGTTTTTTTGTTTGTTTGTTTGTTTGTTTGTTTTTCTAGACAGGGTTTCTCTGTGTAGTTTTTTTGTTGTTTTGTTTTTGTTTGTTTGGTTGATTTTTTGGGGGGAGTGTCTGTCCTGGATCTGGCTCTGTAGACCAGGCTGGGCTCAAACTCACAGAGATCCACCTGGCTCTGCCTCCTGAGTGCTGGGATTAAAGGCGTGCGCCACCACCACCCAGTGTAGTTATTATTTTTTAATCAGCTTGGTTGAAAACCTATTTAACTCAAATCCCACATTTTTCTGGCCTTCCTTTTTATAATCATCTTGAATTTTTCCCTTTGTGTAAGGAAAATAAATTAGTAAGATCAGCTGTATTCTTGTAAACCAAAAGTAGTGAAGCAGAGAGGCAATTTTTCATGATAATTTCAAAAAAAAAGCCTCTACTGATTTCTGTGGTGGCAACCACTAAATCAAAAACTGAGAAGTAGAGGAGACAATGAATGCTGGGGCAGTGAGTGACCAGGAAAATTAGCAGACACAGCACCCCTTCCTGGTACTGTAATGATCAACTAAAATATCTCATAAATACTATTTTCTTACAATGAGAAGAATCACTTCACCTTGAAAATCTTTACCACTAAATTTATTTATAAAAAGAAAACTATGTTCACAATTTACCAGGTTCACACTTCAATTGCTGTTTCACTTTTTACAGGTCCTTGATATATATTTCAATGCTTGGCATATAGTAAGCATGTTAAATTAGAATATAAACAAACCTTATACATTAAGTATTTTTTGGGAAACCCTAGCTAGAATTATAGAATGAGTTTAAATGGTCATATCCCTACTTCTCAAGTTATTTAGTATGCTGTGTCTTTGCCCTTCTACAAATGGGGATCAACAATAACCATATCAAAGTATTCTGATAAATGTGAATTACTTCAGGTAAGGCTCTTACAAATATGAAAACATATATTCTCAATCAATAGTAAAAATGTTAATTTCTGGGGAGGGAGGAGAACTGTGGTTGGTATGTAAGATGAAAAAGAGTTTTTAAATAAAATAAAATGTAAAAAAAAATATAATTACTATGTCAGATTGAACACTAAAGTATTTCTTGATTATTCCAGGTCATTACGACCAATAGACAAATGTTCACAGTACACAAGTCTGTTTTCCCTTTCATAAAGCAGATCCTGAATTGTCAAGCAATCTGAGTTCTTGTGAGTTCTCTGTATCACTCACTACACAATCTTAACCTGTTTCTAATTTTGGCTTCCACTTCTTAATGCGTGTGTGAGACACGCACCTTGATAAACAGTTCTAAGACTATCAGCCCCATTTCTGAAGGCCGAGAGAACTAGCTGGGTGGGGCAGAAAGGCTCCCCTCTAGGTAAGAATGCATGCACTGATACACATGCTTTGAAGCTGTTTTTCAATCACGTTACTATTTCTGTGCCCAGCGTCCCTGACCCATACTGAAGCAGACAGTAAAGGATGTTCTGGGTTTGCTTCCTCTTCACAGAATGTTTTAGTATTGCATGCTTGAGATCCTTTTTAAATTATCACTTTATTTTGATCTATATTTCAGGTATTTGCAGATAATATATAATTAAATACCATGCAAATAATCAATGCATACTGATTTTGATGGAAGACTGTAGCTTAATATTTGTGTTGGGAACATTATATAAATTATTTTTACATAAAACTAGGGAACAATATAAAGATGATGTTACTGCCTAATATCTACCCTTTATTTTTATTTCTATTTCTTTTTCACTTGTATTGCTATCTTGCCCAAAGGTAATATGGAGTAAGATTTAATATGATTTATTTCTAATCTTTCCTCAATATATAGTTAATACTAAACTATAGTATTTTAGGTAGTTAAGGCACCTAGTTTACTATAAAATATGAGAATTTACTATTAGTAATTGATTTCAGTAGCCATAAGCACATTTATTGAACACATGATAATATGTTTTATACTCCCTTATATCCCCCAATGTAAAGAATCATAAAGGAGTATATAAGTGAGAAAAAACTGTGGCTCATGGCATAGCAAAGAGGACAGAGCCACGGCTGTTCCCCAAACCCACCAGCTAGACAACACTGCCCTTAACTACTCTAATCTCCATATCCCAGTGGTGAAAGTATGGGTGACCTCATTGCATGGCTTTCCCAAGTACTGTAACAGCACAATTTCACTTCTCTTTTTTAATTTTGGGAAAGGCATCTATCCTTTGAAAGAAAATGTGTCAGTAGTAGTTAAATACACAATCTAATACTTTGCATATAGAGCTGCCGAGAACATTTTAAAATTATTTAAATATAATTATACAAAGTCCACATAGGCACTGGAAACCCCTTACTTTAGTGTGCTCAGAACTTCCATTACATTTGTTAACAATTACAACAATGATTTTAAGAGGGTAAGTCAAGTCTAGCACATTTTAGCCTGTGCATGTGAGCATCTGCCTGTGTTCTTTGTGTAAACAGCACCATCATTCTTTCCTCCCAGTGCCTGTTTGGAAAACAAGCACTAGGTTATTTGTAGGAGGCAGGTGTTTCCTTACTAGTAAAATCATTTACTCTAGCCATTTCCTGATTTAACAGATTAGGACACTTCATCAAACAATGACGTTTAGTTTTATGGCCTATTATTTGTTTGATGTTCAAAGATCTGAAGACCAGGCAACAGCCACCAGAGATCAATAAAGACCATGAGATAATATGTGTGTGCTTAAATTAGGGACAGCATCTGATGCTGTTTCTTCCACCTCAAAGACTAATGGGATGGTATGTTCCCATCCTGCTGCTTTCGCACTGGCATGAGGAAATAATGTCATTCAGATGGCATTTCCTCCTTCTGAACAGATATTCAGAACCACATTTTATATGGAAAGTTATTGAATGTGCACACCTGTAACACTCTCAAAACAAAAGCCCTATACATCCCATTTAGCTATCCAGTTACACAGTCCAGGACTATGTGAGATTTATGTCAGCTCTTTGAGCTGTCAGAAGGCTATTCCCTCAGGGGGGTACAAGACATCAAATCTTCAAGGCTTGCGATCACAGCAGGTTCAATAAAGAAAGAAGAACAGATGTCAATTTAAAGGGGGGATTATGGAATTAATTGTGAAACAAAAGTGACACACTGAGCACCCTTCTCTTTCAATATAAACAATATCAGTAACATTTGCAGTATGAACAAATGCAGTTATTTTTCTTCTAGAGATTGTTGTTTTAAAAAAGTCATATTTACACTGAGAACAGCAAAATGTATTCTGGTTATTTTATTTAAAGTGAGGTCAATTGATAGCTCTTGGAAAGGGAATAGCTGCAGTCACCATGCCTAATACAGAGGTTTTCAGTCTCCTTTCAGAGGTGAACTACAACAGCAATCGCCAGTAGGTTACTGATAAAAATGGAATTATAACAGGCACTTAGGCATGGCCTTTCCTAAAAAATCTCCACTTGAACTCTCAAGGTAACTGAAGGCAAGATGAAAGTCTGGCCTCTCCATCTCCATCTCCATTTTCCATCTGCCTCCTTGACTTTGCTCGCTTACCTCTGAAGCAGTCAAGGTTCATCATCTAAGACAAACCGATCTAGGAGCCAGGGCTACCTAATTTACCTCAGGGCCTTTCAAACCAAAGGCACAAGGACAAGAGTAACTGAGGGATCTTATTGACAGCTTTATGTTGTCCTTTCTCCAGACCCCACAACAGAGCTAAACAGTCTCCAGTTAGTGTTCTGAACCCTGGACTCCAAGAACAGCACAGCCTAGAAGGACAGAGCCTTGGAGCACAAACAAGCTCACTCCCTGGAGGTCCACTCAAGCAATGAAGATGTCTTCAGATGACCTTGCAGAACTAGAGCTGAGATACTGACCACAGAGTGACCAGGACTGTTTAACTCTGCGGACCACTTGCACTCACACTCTAATTCTTTCTCACTTTAAACCTAAAGCTCACGTCCATTCCCAGAAGATGTGCTGGGGTCAGTGAGCCACTTTTTCTGTTCCACTGATTAAGTCTCCTTTCTGTTTTCACTACTGCTTGGTTCTGCAGTGTGTTGGGAGGTGGAAAAGCCTTTCTTCTACGGCTGCTGCAATGTGGGCTTTTGCCCTAAGCTCCACTTACAAAACAATTCTCATATTTCTTTCCTGTAGTCTATTCACCAGGGAGGAAGGCTGATAGCAGAACTTGGTTTACTTGGTAGCTAAAAACTCAAGAAAACAGTAGAGGAAATGGCTATTTGGGTCTATCTCTTCATGACACAGTTCTCAGGTGTGCCTCAGTCCTAAGCGCCAGTCCATCCTATTCCATAGGCCAGCAGATAGAAGAAAGTTGGCACAAACAGCAACAGAGCAGTAGGCCAGAAAGGGGTTCCATAATGGAAGAGAAGCCAGGTCTTCCCAGGGCACAGTGAATGAAAAGTCCACCCAGACTAACCCAGTGCCTTACACAGTGGAGAAGACTTCAGGTTTGTTTGTCGGTTGGTGGGTAAGCAAAATATTTAGGAAACTGCATTTCTCAGCAATAGAAACTGAAATACTTCAATAAAAACATTATTTCCTCTTCCTCTTCAGATACCATTTTTAGGTATAAAATATAATAAACACCTTGCACTGAATTATAATAAGTAAGAAAATCATTATAGAAAGTACATAAACATAGATCAATATATCAGAAGAAATCCTTTTTTGTAAATGACAACCATACTCTATCCTATACATCTCTTGGATGTGTTAAGCTCTTGGAAGGCAGAGTGCCTAATTATTCCCAGCCTCATCTTATTACCTAATATGATGCCTTGTCTAATGTAAGCATTGAAATGATATCTATAGAGAAACGAGGTGGACAAAAAAGATGTGTTACAAAATGGACTGAGAATGCTACAATACACACCAGGGTTAGCTTTAGTTGATATATATTTTAATGGAAGGGTAAACCTCATTTTCTGTTATATGAATATTTTATAAGTAGATTCATTTGGCAAATATTAAAAATGATAACAAAACTATCAAAACATTTGGTTTTTCAACTACTTGTATGTAGCTAGAGTTTTCCTGCCTTGCCCACAGTCAGGACAAATCTCTATCACCCGCCAGTCCCACAGCCACTCAGACCTGACCAAGTAAACACAGAGACTTACATTGCTTACAAACTGTATAGCCGTGGCAGGCTTCTTGCTAACTGTTCTAATAGCTTAAATTAATCCATTTCCATAAATCTATACCTTGTCACATGGCTCATGGCTTACCGGCATCTTCACATGCTTATTGTCATGGCGGCAGCTGGCAGTGTCTCCTTCTGCCTTCCTGTTCTTTCTTTTCTCTTCTCTGTTAGTCCCGCCTATCCTTCCTGCCTAGCCACTGCCAATCAGTGTTTTATTTATTGACCAATCAGGGTAATTTGACATACAGACCATCCCACAGCACTTGTACTTTCCATGTCTTATAGCAAACCATTTCAGAACTGAAATGTCAATCACAAATCTGTATATTGCTGCATAAAGTATTAATATTATTAGTTACTACTGATAATAGGAATATTAAAATACATTGATGAAAATATGAATGATTCTGAATACTAAGAAACTGTTGAGTTTTAAGTAGTCAATGCTTTCACTAATTTAGGATTTTTCATTACATATTCATAGTTTTTATTACATGGATGATACATAGGAATGCAATATAAATCTCAATTATGTCAAACTTGTAGAAATAAAATAAAAATCAGGTGTCTGTAAGAACAATTTAGCCAATGATGGTCTTCACTCAGCTACCAGAGCATAAAACTGGAGCTTTAATGTTGGTGTGATTAGTAACTGAGCCAAAGAAGCTGTTCCTAAACATGAAAACTTTGATTATATTGGTTAGCTGAAAATAAGTTAGAGACAAATAATTCTTGACAGGATGGAATAAATATATTACTTTAATAAATCAGCTCCCCTTAACTGCTTAAATTGTTACTTTAAATGTTTATAATTTCCAATCAAACATATTACCTTTTTCTCATAGGTGTGTTTTAAATGGTTCCTTTCCATGTGAAACTTATTTTCTTGATCCTGTGAATAATAAATGTTTACTTTTAGTATGTTCAATATTACCTCTAAAGTTAATAAAATTAGTGACCCTATAAAAGCAATGAATGTACTTGATATCAAACTTTACTTCAGAGTATTGCATGTTATTTGTTTATCACTAAGAGAGCACCTAATTTTCTAAGTCACAAGAAGGGACATCAGCAACTTTATATTACAAGACATGAAACCTTAGCTGTATGAAGACTGCTGTCCTCAAGTACAAGGATTGTTGTGACCTTTAAGATTGTAAGATTAAGAATGAGTAACTAAGTCAAGATGGCAATGATAATTATGAAGTTACTTCATATCCTCATTCTTGATGCTCTTTGAGAGAAAATTAATGCTATGAGAAAAAAAGAGAAAGGGGGGAGGGAAGACAGCCGAGTTTGAGAACTTAAAGGGAGAATTGTTCTAAAATACACTTACATAAGAGACTATTCTACATCAAACAAAAATCTGATGGCATACTATACTAATAAGATGTAGAAAGAACAGCAAATAATATATACATATTTAATTTAATATATCCCCTATACACACCAGTGATGATGCACATTATTGACAGCATACCAAATAATAAACATTAGAACTTAATTTTTAAAATATTTAATATAGGGGCTGGGGAGATGGCTCAATGGTTAAGAGCACTGGCTGCTTGCTCTTCCAGAGGACCTGGGTTCAATTCCCAGCACCCACATGGCAGCTCACAACTGTTTGTAATTCTAGTTCCAGGAGATGTGACACTCTCACACAGACATACATGCAGGCAAAATACCACTGCACATAAAATAAAATAAATAAATCTTTAAAAAATATTAACATAGTAAAATATTTAATTTATATTTAATATATTATATATTGTTTAATATATTACATTTAATATATTTTAATAATTTTATTTTAAATTAACATACAATATATTAGATATCATTGTGGCATTTTGAACAAAGTATTTTAGGAGAATTTCCTTCCCCTTCATATTACCCACTCCTCTGCTACTCAGAGCCCCCTTGCTCTCATCCCCATATCTTTTTCTCTTTTATGCTCCATATGCACTTTTTCCCAACCCCATCTCCCTTTATCATGTCCTGGTCTCCTTTCTTGTTTGTTATGTTTTAGCCACATTCCTGCACACACAGATGTACATATTATGGGCTAGGAACTATATACATATGAGAATAAACATTCAGGGTTTATATTTATACACTTGGGTCACCCTGCTTGGTATTAGAATTTCCAAATTCATCTATTTTCCTGAGAATTTCAAGATCTCATTCTTAAATCATTCAAAGTTTTATTTCAAAACTAATGTCTAAAAAGAGATCTTTCAACCATGCAGCTCACACACAATTGAGCCAGTATGATAATGAGTTATTCAGAGACGGGTAATGCCTGGGGGGCACTCATCAACCTAAGACAGACCACCTGTGTGGCCTGGGCAGGCGTCTCTATGACGGGTAAGGTGACCTGCTGACATCCCACACAACCCAAGTCAGAAGCTCATTTTTTTAATAAAAGGGGGACCTGCAGGGCCCTGGCCCCCATTTTGGGTAACTGTTGCCTTGCTTGCAGACCTTGACCTTGATATCCTCCCAGTGCTAATTCCCTGCCAGGTTCCACCCTCCTGAATGCTTAAGGGAAGTTCCTTGTCTGTGTATCCTGAATAATGGGCAACAACAGCTTAGATGCAAGATTGTAAAACATCAGTAGCAAACTTCTGCCCTCTAGGGTCCTCCCCTTGTGCTGTAAGCCTGTATTTAAGACCTCCTACCCACTTCAAGAAATGACATTCGACATTTAAAATTAAATATAAATATATATATATAATTGAATGAATAATGTGAATGTAATCTATGAATACCACAAATGTGATTAATATCATGAGTGTAATTTTAAAAATTAATAAATAAATAAATTTTAAAAAAAGGGAAAAAAAGAACATTTAAAAAAAGAGATCTTTCAAATCAATTGTCTTTTATTCTCTCTATAGAAGCATCTTCATGTGTGTGGTAAGTGCCAGGAATACAGTGAGCAACGGCTCCACCCCAATGCCTTCATCTAAGTTCCTGTTTAATGACTCCCATCCATGCACACAGAAAGCTAAGGAACAAGGACACGGATCGGGCAGAAGTGCACACTCACCTTTTCTTGCTGTTTCCTCTGAAGCTCTAACTCCTGGATCTGCTGCTTTAACTGACAGATGTTCTGTTCCAGATCTTCAATCACTCCAGATGTCTGTGAGGATGGCAGAACAGAGAGCAGAGCACTGACTTTTGTACCGTTCCACTTCTGACTGACATAAAGCTACCATTTACCCCTGAGTGTTCAGTCAGAATTGAAGTTATCTAAATCTGAATAAAAACTATCTTAAACATAGTATGAAACTTAAATCTACTTTAACTATACAGGGACATTGGGCTGAGCAGAAATTAGAATACTATTTGAAGCCAAAAATTCATATTTTAAAGTAAAAATGTAAATTAAAATCTGCATATATTTAATGCTATGAAAATGTAACACTGGCCGGGCGGTGGTGGCACACGCCTTTAATCCCAGCACTCGGGAGGCAGAGGCAGGCTGATCTCTGTGAGTTCGATGCCAGCCTGGGCTACCAAGTGAGTTCCAGGAAAAGGCACAAAGCTACACAGAGAAACCCTGTCTCGAAAAACCAAAAAAAAAAAATAAAAAAAAGAAAATGTAACACTGAATTAAAATTTTATAGAAATTTTTTAAAAATTTAAAAATGAGAATACAAAAAAACAAGCATTTCAAAGCACAGCACTGTATGGGAGCAGCGGCACTTCCGGAAGCATGTCTGAGAATTCCTTTCTTAAACCTTCAGTACCCAGCAGGGCACTATTAAGTGCTGTGTGAGCTATGAGACATTTAGAGTTTTCGGTGTTCTAAACAGCAGCAAATGTTTCGAAGTCTTGTGATTTCTAGAACAAAATGTAGATGGGGCTAATTTCACATGGAAATGACCGGCTGCTATATGGCTGGCCACAGCTGAACACTCGTGTAAATGTGGCTACCCACATGTACAATACCTTAGAAGCTGAAAGCGCGTGCTCTTGTTTCAGGAGGTTTATGTCAGAATCGTATTTGGTTTTTAATAATTTCACATTTTGCTCATAATCATTTACAAGATGTTCTTTCTCTTTATGTAGTATGTTACGCCTAAAACAGTAGGATAAAAAAACAATTTTCTATATTTTTGGAACCAATCTCTAAAATGGATATCTTAACTAAATTCAAGTACATTATCTTTCAATATATGAAGTAAGTATCCAAATTTTCATCAACTGGTTTCAAACATTATGTTCTAAACTACTTTTAGAAATCTGTAAACAATCCTATTTTGGTAGGAATGTCCTAGGATTTACTGCTGCTAGTCTGCCTGCCTGTCCAAGGCCATTTATAAAGTCAGTCAGCGCTGGGCCCACAGACAGCTGACTCAGCAGTACCTCGTCTTCAGCTCCTGTAATTCACTACATGTCATCTGGTAACATCTTTCAAGCTCCAGTTTTTCTTGAGTCAATTTCTGCCTTTGTAAGTTGCTGTTCTCTGCTTCCCCCGTCAGCTGCTGGACGCGGCCCTCCAGTTCTTTGATCATGTGGTTCTGAAAGAACAATCGTTAGGAAGGTCTCTAACCAGCTTTTCAAGCATGTGGCCCAGTAAGCACTCTGAAGAAACATATTGCCTATCAGAATAATATGGACAAATGAGTCATAATATTGGTAAAATAGAACTCTCCAAACTAACCAAATCTTTTAAAAACCATTATTTACCATAAAATTACCAGCCTGTTTATACATACTCAACCATTCACTCCTTCATAGAATGTTTACTGAGGCTGACAATTTTCTATGAGAGCAAAGAGACAAGGCCCACTCCTCAGGTGGACTGCAAGCCCTTCTCAGTATAGTTTAGATTTGTCCTTCTCTCACACAGTTTTAATAATGACATTTCAAAAATGAAATCCATAACCTTCTATATTAATGCCAGGAATACCACATAAAATAGTCATGATTAGCAAGTATACAGGAATATTTTATCCCATAAATTTTTATTCATTTCATCTGTAATGGTTTTTCTATTTCATTTAAAGCAGTTCTCTATTTTTCTAAAGTATTGAAAAGCAACATTTAAATAAATTGCCTGTTTATTATTTGGTATTTAAGTTATTAAATAAATTGCCTGTTTATTATTTGGTATTTAAGTTATTTTGAATTCATCACTTGGGCAGGACTGCATTTAATCCCCAAATAAAGGTGTTTATGAGCTTCTGGATGCTTTAATCAAAACCATGCTAAACCAGCAGTAACCAAGAGACAACTGGTTTCCATTTTAACAACTACACTTCTAATAAATGTGTGTAGGAAAGCTTAGTGTGGCATTTCTTTTCTATTGTTTTTCTATGACAAAGAGTTAAGATAAAGTTTCAACATTACTGTTAAACCCAACACCTTTCTCCCATTCACCTTTTCTTCATTAGAAAACTGAATAGATAGGCAGGTTAAATTTTGGTGCAACAACTTCCAAATCTGTGAAGTGAAAATCATTCTATCTGCCTAAAAACAGCACATTGATGAATTTTGTAAATGATCCAGAGTAGACATGTGACTTCATTCAAACCCACTACATCCCCTCTGCCTCTTTGCTGAGCTGAGCAGTCCTTAAGAAGATGAGCAGAATGTTTAAGGTTCTCTGACCTACTCCGGCTCCTACACAGTAACTGTGTGACAGGAACATAACGGGAGTCTTTGCTCTCCAGTGTTAAGTGGTGGAATCAAGGGGATCTGGAGTCCTTCTTTTCAGGAACTGATGAAAAGGCAATAGGGAGGAAAGCAGAACTGCAACTCCATATCAGTGACTGTAGGGAGAATGTTCTCTTCATAAAGGGGTGGCTACAGAATATCACTCTCCCATTCAGAACAACTAGAAACACAGAAATAAGTCTGGAAAAAATTAGCAGGTAGGTGTTAGAGGATGCCCAAGGCAGACTGGATGTAAGAAAGAAGAATAACACTAAAGATGAATTAGCATTTTCTAAGTTGCCTCCTCCCCTTTTCAGTCCTAGAGGTATTTTCTAATCTTGGATGATGAGTGAGGAGTGGACAAGAAGTCAGAGCAAAGGGTGCCAAGGCAGCTGAGACTTGAGACTGCACAAAGTGAGGGTCGGGTCTCCTTGTCTCCTATAGAGAGACAGGGAACAAGAATTTCAAAGTCAAGACAAAGATTACCCAGAGTAAAAGACATAAAAGAGTGGTCATTATGAACTCTTAGAAAATAACCTAGTCATCAAAGACATAAACCAGGAGCAAGGGGCTGAATTGCTGCAGACAAACCAACAGACTTTGCTTAAGGAAAAAGTCTCTGCCAGCCAGAAAACAGCCTCTTCCTACAATATTACTACCTGAATACAGTGAAGAAGAAAGAATATGCTCAGCTCAAAGTACAGATTACTTTTTTATAAGAGAAAGAAAATAGATGATTGGAAACACACTCACTGTTTCAAGGGAAAAGAGCAATAGACATTGAAACAGTATTGTGATCTCAAATGCCCAGTGGCACTGAAGATGAACAACAATGATAAAGTGAACTCTAAAGTTTAATTTGGGTACTGATCAACCATTAAAACTTTATGGGACCTAAAAAGGTATCTGTGAGCAAGATGTAGTCACTGACTACACCTGCTAAATAAAGCAAGTGCTCAGAAGTACTCCTTGTCATTTTCCTATTGGAAGCCATGGTTTGAACTGGTGGTCATTTCCTTAGACATCTGGAGATTCTGTAAATCTCCACAATACTAACAAGGACCCTGGTGACAGACAGTCACACATCCTTACTTGTCTGCATTCATTTGCAACTGCTATCTATGCTCCAATAAGAGAACTGCAAATGTTGGTGAGGATGTGGAGAAAATGAAAATCTTGTACCGTACTGGCAAGAATATTATAGTGAGGGAAGTAACCTCGGCCCCCAAAGACAAACACTGTATACCCTCTCATATGCAGATCTTAGACTGAAATGTTTGGACAAGTGCATTTAAGTTGGAGTGTCAATAGGAGCCAGGAACAAAGGAACCATGAGAGGCTACAGACGGGTCAGGGAGATGAGGGTGGTGGGAAGACTGGAGAAGGAAACATTTAAAGGGGGTATGGGTAGGAAGACATTGGAAAGCAGAGGGAGAGAGTCAAGCAAAACATGGAGGCATGAAAACAGAAAAGCCTGTTACTTTATAAGCTAAATGCAAGTCTGACTTTAAAAAGAACTTGAACGAAGTACTCTGTATAGGTGGTTAACTTTGCTCCCAGAAGTCAAGGATTTCAAGCTGGAATCCCAGTGGCAAGTGCAGAATACTCCCTTATGAGTTGTTGGCCAGATAACTTTCAGAGGTTCCCAAACAAGTGAGAATATTGTCACTGCTCACCAGAACTACAGTAAGACACAACTGCTTCAGAAAGTGCACTCTGAATACAGAACACAGAAAAACCAAGCCAGAACTCAGTTGGAAGCTTCTTTCCTGCAGGCTGATGGGGGGGGGGGACTCATCAATGGTCACACCCAGCTATAAACCCTGGATGCTATAATGCAGAACTTCATGGCAAAATATGCCCAGAGGTACAATAGTAGCATGAATATTCTGGGGATAGTTTTCCTCTGATTGCTTTTGAGATTTTCCCCCATATGGAATGGTATATGACTATTCAAAAGCCTGTGGTGATGGAGATCACAGGTAGTGCCGTGGGAGGAATGTCTTGCTGATGTTTCACTAAATGCGCATGTAGTTAAACTGCCTTCTCATTTACAGTTGTACTCACTTACTGGGGAAGCTCTCAGCTTTGGTCAGAGCAGCCTCTTTCGGCAATGGCAGCATCCACACTGGTAGAAGTGCTGAGAACAAGTGACTACTGAATGCTTGGCCCCAAACATGTCAAGTGTCGCCTCTCTAAGCACAAGGAACACTAGGATAGGAGAGGTGGAAAGACTATGAGAACCAAGGGACTGGGCCCTGCTCTGGATAGAAGGCCAGCAACTGTGAACACAGCAGCTGTGACTATCTGCACAGGCCAGAGAATGACAGTTCGAGGTAGAGATCAATGGAGAGAAGAAGGGAGGGAGGAAGAGGAGGACGAGAAGGGGAGAAGGGAGACAGGTTGGGAGAGAGATGAGGAATGGATAGAGAGAGGGAGGAATGATGGCTGAAGGGAGGGAATACATGAGGATGGGAGACTAGCTGGAAAGGGAGTTGGTAGGAATGGGAGGGGATGCTGGAGGGTAGCCTGGAAATGAATGTACAGAATCACATTGGGAATTACAGAAATCACATAGAGCCATGATATTGTCAAGAATGTTTAAAAGAATTAATTTTTTTTTAAAAAAAAAACCTATTTTTAAAAGATTTAAAACTTGTGACCGCAATGGAAAATAAAGTTTGCTAAAAGAAAAATATCCTAAAAATATAACCACCAAATGATCTACCAACCTTATTTCTGGAGATAGTTACCCATCTCTTCACCCTAAAATATAATTAAGATCTCAAAGATCTACTGGAGATTCCATGTTCATCCTGCAACAATTCCCAATAGCTAAGATGTAGAAACAACTTCACATAGCCATGAAAGAAGGAAAATCTGGCCTGGTGTGGTAGCACATGCCTTTAATCCCAGCACCCAGGAGGCAAAGCCAAACAGATCTCCATGAGTTTAAAGCCAGCCTGATCTACATAGTGAGCTCCAGGCCATCAAGGCTACATGTTAAGACCTTTTCTTTTTAAAAAAGAACATTTATCAATGTGTTGCATCCTGAATGAACCCTGAGGACATTATGTTAACTGAAATAAGATAGTCATAAAAGGACAAACACTGAGTGCTTCCAATTACATTGCGTGTCTATAGTAGTCAGAAATCCATAGAAACAGAAAGTAGAATGGTAGCACTGGGGAGGAGAAAAAGAGGACCTGATGTTCACATACAAGGAGAGTCAGTCACAGAAAACTGGAAGTCCTAGAAATCTGCTGTTCAGTACTGTGTATATGGTTAATATTGTTAGGAGGGTAGATATTATGTTAGGCATTTTTAACAACAATAAAAAGGTGAGAAAAAAAGGATGGCCATAATATATCATACTAAATGTGAGCATATGCAAATATCTTCCCAAACTGAATATCCAAGAATTCACTGGCCATTAACATTCTGCAATGAAGAAGATAATGACAGTAACTAGCAGTGAGTTCTCATTGTAGGCCAGAAACTATGTACAGTATCAACAAGTGTTAGCAAGCAGTAGGCCATTTAACACACACCACACCCAACTATGAGACAGGAATTACTAACATAATTTTAACTATTGAGAAAACTAAAACTTAGCAAATCACTCTCCTGGCAAAATGATAACCAGCATCATGGAACATAAGATCTTCTAACCAAAATCCACTTCACTGTGTCTATCATATCATCATCAAAGCTTACCCTCACAGACATATGTTTACCACATGCATGGCTGGTATCGGTGGAGGCCAGAAGAGGGCATTAGGTACCCTGGAACTAGACTTACAGGCCATTGTGAGCTGCCATGTGGCTACTGGGAACCAAAACCAGGTCTTCTCTTAAGAAC